GAGCGCGGGCGTCTTCCCCGCCCGGCTGGAGGGGCCGTGTGGGGGTCCCGGCCGCGGCCGGCGTCGGTTCCCTGACGCGCCGCTTCGCTGTGATCCGGTGCGAAGGGGGCACGGGGATTGCCATCTCGTGACCGGTCAGTACAGATACTGAGGCCGGCGTGCGGGCTGGAGGCTGAGATCTGAGGATCACGGTTCGAAGCCAGCCCTGGACAGGAAGGCCCGTGAGACTCCTAGCTCCGTTTAACCAACAAAAAGCCAGAAATGGCGTTGTGGCCCAAAGTACCAGAGCCCTAGCCTAGAGCCGCTCACCCTGAGGACGGTGCTCAGGCCGGAGTCAAGCCCACGACCGCACGCAGAATCAGTGCTTTGCTGCTTTCAGTTAAGAGCACGCAGATTTGCGTGTTGTTTTTATTTTAAAGTCTTTAGTCTCCTTGCGCGCGTGCGTGTGTGTGCGTGTACCTGGAACTCTTGCTTGAGTTTCTGCTCACTACTGGTTCTTTACCATTTTAGCTGAATCTCCAGTCCATTTTTAAAAATTCAGATTAACTGAGGGATGTCTTTGTTGGCCCTCTTTTATTTTTTGAGGCAGTGCATAAGTTCAATTTGTATAATTTTAATTTTTTCCTCAACACTAGTTTTCTTTAGTGCATTTTGATAACATATGTCACTTAACATCTAGTATGACTTTTTTTTTCTTTCTTGGTCATGGAACTTGAACTCAGGGCTTGGGCACTGTCCATGAGCATTTTTTGCTCAGAGCTAGTGCTCTACCACTTTGAGCCAGAGCACCACTTCCAGTTTTTGAGTGGTTAATTGGAGATTTGGAGATAAGAGTCTCAAGGGGACTTTTCTGCCCAGGCTGGCTTGCAACGGTGATTCTTCAATTTTAACCACCTGCGTAGCTAGGACTACAGGCATGAGCCAACAGCCCAGCTCTCTAACTTTTTTTTTTGGTCCAGTCATGGGCCTGAACGCTGTCCCTCAGCTCTTCACTCAAGGCTAGCACTCTACCACTTGAGCCAGATACTCAGCCCTTTTTGCTTCAGTTATTTTTCAGGTAGGGTCATGTTTTTTTTTGCCTGGGTAATCCTCAGACTAGTTGGAATTAGAGGTTTATACTATAATTCCTGGTTTATTTGTTGAGATGAGTTTTTGCTGACTTTTTACTCTGTCTAGCCCTTAGCTGTCTCTTCTTCCCAGTATCTGAGATTACTGGCATGTACCCCTAAGCCAGTCCCTCCATAACCCCTTTAAACCACCTCAGCATTAACTGTTCACTGTACCAGACCTACTTCTCTTACGTTTTGTTACATGTGTTTCTCCATCTTGTAGAGTCTCCTGAAAGGTGAATTTCACATACTCCTGCTTTTTTTTTTTTTTTGGTCAGTCATGGGGCCTGAACTCTGAGTCTGGGCACTGTCCCTCAGCTCTTCAGCTCAAGGCTACCATTTGAGCCACAGCAGTACTTCCAGCTTTTTCTGCTTTTGTGGTGCTGAGGAATCGAACCCAGGGCCTCATGCATGCTGAGTAAGCATTCTACCACTGAGCCACTTTCCCAGCTCCACTCCTGCTCCTTTTTGAAAACTGGTTCTTTGGTCTTTATTTCTTTCTATAGCATGTATTTTTAGCCCTTGGCATTTTCCAATCACAAGGGCAGAGATTTTAGATGCACATTGTAAATTAAGATCTGCTTATCAAGATTTAATATGAGCACTATCAACAAATTCTGCTCAGGACAATACTTAAATCCATGTGAATCAAATCTTCTGGAAACAAAGGATGCAGAGTTATCAGTATTAAATCACCAACATGTGGGGCTGGGAAGGTGGCTTAGTGGTAGAGCGCTTGCCTTGCATGCATGAGGCCCTGGGTTCAATTCCTCAGCACCACATAAGCAAAAAGTAAAAAACGGAAGTAGCACTGTGGCTCAAGTGGTAGAGTGCTAGCCTTGATCTGAAGAGCTGAGGGACAGTCCCCAGGCCCAGAGTTCAGGCCCACGACTGGACCCCCCCCCCCAAAAAAAAAGACTAAATCACCAACATGTATGACAGATTTAATAACTGAATTTTTAGTGAAGTCAATGAGAAAAAAGAAATATATGTTAACATATTGCCTTAAGTTACATTTGTAAAAACAGTCAATTCACTCCGGGCACTGGTGGCTCATACCTGGAATCCTAGCTACTCAGGAGAATGAGATCTGAGAATCACATTTGAAGCCAGCGTGGGTAGGAAAGTCCGTGAGAATTTTTTTTTTGGGTCCCCCATGAGATTCTTATCTCCAGTTAACCACTCAGAAAAAGCCAGAAGTGGCTGGTGCTGTGGCTCAAGTGGTAGAGTGCTAACCTTGAGCACCATGAGGCTTGGGGATAGAGCCCAGGCCCTGAATTCAAGCCCTAGGACTAGCCAAAAAAAAAAAGAGTCCCACAGTGACTTTCCTGCGCTGACTGGCTTTGAGTCAGGCTCCTGAGTAGCCAGGATTACAACTATGAGCCACTGGTGCTCGGCTAAAAGCATTTTTTAAGGGAAAAGAATTTTGTCATTGCTAACATTTCTCTTCTGCTGGCAGCAACTCCTAATTTCTTTTGCAGTACTCTTTCTAACATATATCTTGTTAGCTGTGGCTTTTCAGTCTCCAGTTGCAGATATGTTAACAGAGTCCCTTTGACTGTGTAGGATATGTATTGCTGACTTGAAACTCACTTTCCAGGGCATCATCTTGACTTCTTTCTGTTTAGTACCTAACTGCTGCTTCGTCTTCTGTGTCCTGAATTTTGATGAAAGTTGATATAGCTAAATCAAAAGATTTTTTTTTTTTTGCCAGTCCTGGGGCTTGAACGCAGGACCTGGGCACTGTCCCTGAGCTTCCTTTGCACAAGGCATTCTACCACAAGAGCCACAGAGCCCCTTCCAAGTTTTTCTGTTTATTGGTACTGAGGAATTGAACCCAGGGTTTCGTGCATGCTAGGCAAGCAATCTACTACTAAGCCACATTCCCAGCCCCAAAAGAATTTTATGATGAATACTTACAAAGCCCCTCATATAGACCCTACCATTAATATTTTCCTATGCCATTTTTTATTTTTAGATAAGGTCTTGTTGAGTAGCCCAGACTGCCACAGACTTAGGGTCCTCATTTTCTTCCTGCCTCAGCCTCCTGAGTACTGACTAAGATCACAGTCATGTACCGCCATGCTCAGTCCATCTGTCTATTTTTTCCCTCATCAATCCATTGAGTTTTTTTGCATTTCAGTGTGAATAGGAGATATCAGTATACTTTCAGCTGGAAATTTCTAGCAGATACAGTTTATATAACTCCTGTATTTTGGGAGTTTGAGTTATTGTAGATTTACTTATGAAATCCTTCTGTAGTTCCTCTCTGTAATTGGTATCTTGTGTTTTAGCTTGCTGGCATGACAGTTTGGAGAGCCCCTCAGCACACTGTCCTCATACCCCTTTCTTTCTTTGCTTCTCAGGACTCTCCTGCCATTCAAGGAAGGCATGGAACCTGTGTTGCTGTCTGCCTATTCCCAGGTATATTGGACTGCTTTCCTTGTCACCCAGCTAGGTATTCCTTTTCACTTCTCTTGTATCAGAACTTCAGCAGGTGTATCTCAAACAGCCCTGGTTTTTTTTTTTTTTTTTTTTTGCTTTATTTGTAGTGTAGTTTTATTTTCCTCAATTCAAAAGAAATACAGGTTTAGCAGTAATATAGGCAAGTCAAGTGGGTGTACTTAAGGGTTTTGATGACGTGTGTTTTAGCCACACGAAGGCATTAAGCCCATAGCTTTTCACCCCACCCTTGGATGATGAGAAAGCTAGAAATTCTGGTATCTGTCAGGGACCTCTGTGATGCTGGCTGTGTGAACTGTGCTTCCTATGGGGATATCTGTCTGGAGGAGCATGGTGAGAACTTAGGTAATTACCAAGGGTCACTATACCCAGACACATAGTTCTGAGGAAGATAGGGTCCTGGTTGCAGCACCTTCTGGGAATACCCAGGTGGGAAACATTGCCTCTGCCTCCTTCTTGAGAGGGAACTTCCTGCAGGCTTGGACAGGAAAGTAGGCTAAAAAGTTGAGAGAGAGCTAATGTGACATGGCTTGTGTGTGGACCCTCAGCTCCACAGCAGGAAGCTCTGTTACATGACCTGTGTGTGGACCCTCAGCTCCACAGTGGGATATTGTGAGCAAGTGTTCGGGGTGTGCGTTTAACAGGAGTTAAAACTAGAGGCAACCACATTTATCTTAAAACATAAAATGATGACTTGTAATTTTTCCACATAAGTATAAAATTTGGATTTGTGAAGTTTTGAGAGCACCAGGGCGTTTTGAAGAATTCAAAGTAGCTTAAGTAGAACTGAGGGAGGTGTGGGCACTCTGGATCTGACCACCGCCTAAACAATGAGGGGGTGAATGAGAGGTCTGAAGAAGTCACAGAGACAAAGCTAAGCAAAACTGAAAACAATCAGGTTGGTAGAACTGATAGCTCATGAAGGTAGCTGAGCCAGAGCCTTCTACAAAGTAAGGCTGAAAGCCTGTTATAGTGCAGCGTACCAAGGGGAGAGAGTTTTTCAGGAAGGAGACATGCAGCTGAGAAGTTACCCCAAACTGGCTGAAAATTGAGTTAAAATGACGCTGGACACCAGTGGCTCACACCTGTAATCCTAGCTACTCAAGAGGCTGAGATCTGAGGATCACTGTTCAAAGCCAGCCTGGTAGGGAAAGTCTGTGAGACTCCTATCTCCAATAAGCCACTAGAAAACTGGAAGAGGCACTGTGGCTCAAGTGGTAGAATACTCGCCTTGAACTGAAGAGCTGAGGGACAGCGCCCAGGCCCAAAGTTCAAGCCCCATGACCGACCCAAAAAAAAAAAATCAATGAGAAACCACTTCTTCTTTGATAATGGACAATTTCGAAGATACATAAAAGTAGGAAAAAATTGGGTATATCCAAGTGGAAAAATCTACATGACATGATCTAAAAGACTAGGGACTAATATTTAAAGTACAAAGTGTCTCTTGATAAGCACTAAATTCAGAAACAAATCAACTTATTTTTAGGTTGTGTTAAACTTGTGTTCATCTGAGATAAAAATGCAAAGAACAAATAAGTAGTGCAACTCAGAGCTTATTTCCAGCAAAAGAATAGCACAAAAGAGATTTCTAAACAATTATTGAAATTATGATTCATAGCTGGGTACATGCCTCTGATCTCAGCACTCAGGAAATAACTGCATACAGGACATAATAAGAACCTCTTTTTTCCAATTCTTGGAGTTCATGTTGATACTTCATTATGTATGGGCCTATGCACTTAGCAATTGGCTATTGAAATCCCCTGTTAACAATATCATAGAAGGGGAGGTTTGGGGGCGGGGGAGGAGAGGGAAAGTAGGAGAAAAGTAAGGGAGAGGGTAACAAGTTTAACAAGAAATGTACTCCCTACCTTATGTAACTGTAACCCTTCTATACATTACCTTGACAATAAAATAAAGAAAGAATAGAATAGAAATATTCTCTTATATCAAATGAGGGAAACTGTGCAATCTACTTTTAATTAGGCCTGGTTTACTTCACTTAATCTAATTTTCTCCAGGTTTTCCATTTCCTTATCAATGAGGCAATGTCATTCTAATGCAAGCATAGAACTCCATTGTGTATATATATCACATCTTGATCCATTCATCTACTGAGGGGCAGCTGGGTTGGTTCCATATCTTAGCTATGGTAAATAATGCTATAATGAAAATGGTTGTGCTGGTAGTTTATAATGGCCTTGTTTGAGGTCATTTTGGTAAATACCAAGGAGTGAGATTGCTGGGTCTGTGTTTAGTCCTTTTATTTTTTGGCCAGTCCTGGGGCTTGAACTCGGGGCCTGGGCACTGTCCCTTCTTTTTTGCTCAAGGCTAGCCCTCTACCACTTGAGCCACAGAGCCACTTCTGGCTTTTTCTGTTTATGTGGTACTGAGAATTGAAGCCAGGGTTTCATTTTTTTCTTTTCTTTTTTTTTAGATTTATTTATTTGCAAATCATGGGTCCTGAACTCTGGGCCTTGGCACTGTCCCTCAGCTCTTCAGCTCAAGGCTAGTGTTCTACCCCTTGAGCCTCAGTACCACTTTTCTGCTTATGTGCTGCTGAGGAATCAAATCCAGGGCCTCATGCATGCAAGGCAAGCACTCTACCACTGAGCCACCTTCCCAGCCCTGTGAACCCAGGGTTTCATACATGGTAGGCAAGCACTGTACATTAAACCACATTCCTAGCCAGGGCTAGCACTCTTTTTTTTTTTTTTTTTTTTTTTGGGTCCGGTCGTGGGGCTTGAACTCTGGGCCTGGGTGCTGTCCCTCAGCTCTTCAGCTCAAGGCTAGCGCTCTACCACTTGAGCCACAGCGCCACTTCGGCTTTTTTTGTTTTTGCTTATGTGGTGCTGAAGAATGGAACCCAGGGCTCAGGCATGCAAGGCAAGCACTCTACCACTGAGCACCTTCCCAGCCCATGGGCTAGCACTCTTGAACCACAGCTCCACTTTGTCTTCTTTGGGAGTTAAGTGGAGATACAAACCTTACAGATTTTCCTGTTCAGTCAGGCTTTCTACTGCAGTCCTCAAATCTGCCTCCTGAGTTGCTTGGATTATAGACATCAGCTACCAGCATCTGGCTTTGGTTTTTTTTTTTTAAATATTAAGGCATAATTGACCTGTATTTCTTCTTCTGTTTTTCTGCCACGAACAAGATTCTTATTTCAACATGTTATAATCACGTGAATTAAGTTTTGGTGTGAGATTCTTCCTTCTGTACATGCATAAACTTGATTTAAATGAAATGCTTCTGATAGTTCCTTAACCTAAAGCACTCATGGACCTTTTGGACAATATATACCTAGGAGTCATTCATTTTCAACTTAAAAGTCCCTAAACATAAACATGACACAAGTCATGGACCAGATTCTGGTCCATGGTTGCAAGCCCACCCTCTTTCTGTTGGGGATCATGAATGGAAAGGCAAAAGTATGTATGTGGATAAGTACAAACTTGTTTGATATTTTAGACATTAGTGACCTTCAGGGATGTGCTGGTGGATTTTACCGAGGAAGAATGGAAGCTTCTGGATGCTGCTCAGCAGTTCATATATAAAGATGTGATGTTGGAGAATTACAAGAATCTGGTTTTCTTGAGTAAGACTGTCCTTTGTTTTGAAGAAGTCACTGTAGTGACCTTCACTGGTACAGAGCCTGAGACCTGTGTCAAATGGTGGACTTTTTGTTTAGTGACCTGATTTTGTTAGTACATAGAGCAGGGTTTTATTCTCTGCTTTTGTGGAAAAATTAGTTTCACTGGATTTTAACACTTTGTGTTTTCTTTCTTTCTTTTTTTTGGGGGGTCTGGTCGTGGGGCCTGAACTCTGGGCCTGGGCGCTGTCCCTCAGCTCTTCAGCTCAAGGCTAATGCTCTACCACTTGAGCCACAGGGCCACTTCCAGCTTTTTTCTTTTTGCTTATGTGGTGCTAAGGAATTGAACCCAGGGCATCATGCATGCAAGAAGCGCTGTACCACTGAGCCACTTTCCCAGCCCCACACTTTGTGTTTTCTTCACTTACTTTACATCCTTACATAGTCAGTTTTCAGAGTAGCCACAAGACATGTGCAGTGGTGAAGATGAGCTGAACCTAGAACTCCTGTTTATTTCTGCTCTGAAGCCCTCCCACTCTTACACAGTCGTTTATCTGTCATATGAACAGGGTTTCACCTTCCTAAGCCAGATGTGATTCATTGTTTGGAGAAAGGGGAAGAGCCCTGGCTGGTGGAGAGAAGGATTTACCGTGAGACCCAACCAGGTAAGGACCAAATGGGAGCTGTCAGACAGTGATCCATGTGGCCCTCCAGGGGCTGGAACCTCTTGAGATAAGGTCATGACTCTCTAGGTCCATGTTTCTGAGAGGGGTTCAGGGTTATCTACTTTCTGTTTCTCTTCACTAGTCTTTTTTCTGCACTCCTAGCACACTTTGTTTGCATTTGGAGAAAAAGGTATCTTATTTCTTCATTAAAATTTGTTTTTCTTTTTTCTTTTTTTTGGTCGGTCGTGGGGCTTGAACTCTGGGCTTAGGTGCTGTCCCTGCACTCTTCAGCTCAAGATGAGCACTCTACTGCTTGAGCCACTGTGCCATTTCCGATTTTCTAGTGGTTATTTGGAGATAAGAGTCTCATGGAGCCGGGCGCTGGTGGCTCACGCCTATAATCCTAGCTACTCAGGAGGCTGAGATCTGAGGATCGCGGTTCAAAGCCAGCCCGGACAGGAAAGACCGTGAGACTCCTATCTCCAATAAACCACCAGAAAACCGGAAGTGGCGCTGTAGCTCAAGTGGTAGAGCGCTCGCCTGGAGCTGAAGAGCTGAGGGACAGCGCCCAGGCCCAGAGTTCAAGCCCCACGACCGACAAAAAAAGAGTCTCATGGACTTTTCTGTCCAGGCTGGCTTTGAACTGCGATCTTCAAATCTCAGCCTCCTGAGTAACTAGGATTACAGGCATGAGCTACCAGCACCCGGCTGTTTTTCTTTTGACCTATTTATGCCATGCACTTGTATGTGTATTCATTCACTTACATGACCAGGATATCTTTAAACTAATGAAGAGTAAATATGAAAATACTTTAAAAATTTTAATTTATTTAATAATTCTATTTATAGCTGGGCGCAGGTGGCTCACACCTGTAATCCTAGCTACTCAGGAGGCTGAGATCTGAGGATCGAGGTTCAAAGCCAACCTGGGCAGGAAAGTCCGTGAAACTCTTATCTCCAATAAACCACCAGAAAACCTGTGGTGCTGTGGCTCAAGTGGTAGAGTGCTTGCTTTGATCTGAAGAGCTCAGGGACAGCACTCAGGCCCAGAGTTCAAGCTCCACAACCAACAAAAAAAAATTATATTTATTGTTATTGTTGTTATTATAAAGGTCATGTGCAGAGGGGTTACAGTTACATAAGTCAGATAATGAGTACATTTCTTTGTCAACAGTGTCACCTCTTCCTTTGTGCTCTCACAGATTTTCTCTTCTGACCATATCTAGAAGTTGTATAGCTCATTTTCAACATTTTCAACTGTCTAGTGAGTACTATGGGTGCATTGGTTTACCCTTTGTTCCTCCATTTCTGTGCCCTTTTTAACCCTCCTTACAGATAAATCTATCAAAACAAAAAGATAACACAACAAAGAAAAAAACTTTTTTTCCATCTCTGGGAAATAATATTTCGTTAAATATTATTATTATTATTTTTTTTTTGGGATCCGGTCGTGGGGCCTGAACTCTGGGCCTGGGCGCTGTCCCTCAGCTCTTCAGCTCAAGGCTAGCGCTCTACCACTTGAGCCACAGCGCCACTTCCGGATTTTTTCTTTTTGCTTATGTGGTGCTGAGGAATTGAACCCAGGGCCTCATGCATGCAAGGCAAGCGCTTTACCACTGAGCCACCTTCCCAGCCCTCGTTAAATATTATTTTATATGATTAGAGGCACAGAGACATTGTGCTTTGGTGTTCTTCTAAGAGTATCTTCCTTTGGTCTCACTGTATATGAATGACTAGAGTCCTGTGCAATTTATCATCTCTTTGTGTATTTTAGATCTGGCTTCTGCATATGAGAGAAAATGTGCACTGTTTGTCTTTGTGAGCTTGGCTTACCTCACTTAACATGATTTGTTCTAGGTCCATCCATGTCCCTGCAAATGACATTATTCTTTCTATGGGCTGTGTTAAATCCCTTTGTGTATAGGTATCACATTGTTTTGATCCACTTATCTATTGTAGGGCATCTAGGCTATTTCTATAACTTGACTATTGTGAATAGTGCAGCAAGGAACATGGATATACAAGTTTGTTTTTTTTTTTAAAGCTTTTTATGGCTGTGTACTTGTGGCTCATGCCTATAATCCTAGCTACTCAGGAGATTTGAGGATTGTAGTTCAAAGCCAGCTCAGGCAGGAGAGTCCATAAGACTCTTAACTGCAGTTAACTACTAGAAAACTGGAAGTGGAGCTGTGATGCAAAGTGGTAGAGTGCTAGCCTTGAACTGAAAACCTCAGGGACAGCACCCAGGCTGAGTTCAAGTCCCATGCCAGACCAAAAAGAAAAAAATGTGTGTGTAAGAAATGGTTGCTGATCAGTATCATGTATCATATAAAATCACAGGAATGATGATGATTATGCTAGGTAACCACAGACCATCTGTGTGGGCACTGAGATAATAACTCCCTTGCTTCCTGATGGTTTAATGTGTAGAGACTTTGTGTCATGCATTAAAACTACTTAAAATATTGTATAAAACTACCTTCAGCTTATGTGCATATATGCACATATGGTACATAAGTGAATTATTTGTGTTTGGACCTGAATCCCCCCATATCTCCTTATATATGCAAATATTCTAACATATGAAGAAATCCAAACTCTGAAACACTTTTACTCAGAACAATTTTGGGTAAGGTATACGAAACATGTTAAAGAAACTAAGTGACTTAAAACGAGAGACTTTGCCTCATGCCTCACAGTTCTGGAGGCTAAAAATTCAAAATCAAGGTGTCAGTGGGTCTATGCCAGGCTTCTAGGAGAGGATCCTTCTGCCTCTTTCACCTTCTAATAATCTCACAATGACTTGTTGGTTTGTGGGTGCATTACTCCATTCTTAGTTCTCCTTCATATGGAGTTTCTCTGATCATCTATTTCTGTGACCTTCCCCTCCCCCCGCTTTTTGTTTTTTTGCTGGTTATGCTACAGCTTGAACTCAGGGCCTGGATTCTGTCCCTGAGATCCTTTGCTTAAGGCTACTATTTTACCACTTTGAGCTATAGTTCCACTTCTGGTTTTCTGGTGGTTAATTACAGATAAAAGTCTCTTTGTCTTTCTGGGCTGGCTTTGAATGGTGATCCTCAGATCTCAGCCTCCTGATTAGCTAGGATTACAGGCATGAGCCATTGGTACCCAGCTGTTTTCTCCCTTTTTTCTAAGAATACCATTTATACTGAATTAGATGTTCATTCGCTGCAATCTTACCTCATCTTTACTCATTATATGATTTTTATTTCCAAAAAGGGCACATACTAAGATACTGGATATTGGGACTTCAGTATATCTTCTTTCTAGGACATAGTTCAAGCTCAGTTATATACTAAGACGTAGTATTGTGTAAGTTGTGTTTTGTTCTAGAAATGCAATTACAATATTACATATTAAGGAGACTGAAAAACAAATACAGCACTTAAGCAGGCAAATTATGTGCATTAGCATTCATAGAGAACAGACTCGTAGACCATCTAGGAGAATATGGGTAAGACTTCAAGTTCTGAGTTAGTTTCCTGCAGTGTTTATCTTACCATTGTTAATATTGATGTTTGTACTAGTCAGCTTTCCATCACCACAGCAAAATGCCTGAGATAATTGTCCTATGAAGAGAAAAGGGTTATAATACTCTAACCAGTGGGCCAGTGGATTTGGCCACTGGTAAGATAGTGACTCCTGGTGAGACCATGTGGCAGAGCAAAATGTGGCTTGGGTGCTATCCTTTAACTTTTTCGTTCAAGGCTAGGGTTCTACCATTTGAGCAACAGCTCCACTTCTGGCATTTTTGTGGGTAATTGGATATAAGAGTCTCACAGACTTTCTTCCCTGGGCTGGCTTTGAACTGGTATCTCAGAGCTTCTCAGAGCTATAATCCTAGCTAGGATTATAGGCAAGAGCCACCAGCACTTGACTAGGTTTTCTTCTTTCTAAACAAAATCCTGCTACTTAGCCTAGGAGGGTTTTTATAAAATTTGTGTTTTTGTCAGCACTGGGATTGAGCTCAGGGCCTCAAACTTGCCTTATGTACAGGAAGCAAAGGTAAACAGGAAGGTGCTGGATTCCCATTTTCCCCTTCAATGGCATGCCCCAAATGAATTAAGTACCTCCTTGGAACTCCCTTCCCTCCTTGTTAATGCTCTTACTACCTCTTAGTAGTGCCATGGTGGAAACCAGGCCTTTAACGTGTGGATCTTTGGGAACATTCAGCATTCCAACAAGAGCAGTGTCTCAGGCCAAAGGAATCAAAGGTGACAGTAGAAAATTAGTGTAAGGGTTACAATTAGTAGCTTTTTTTTTTTTTCCAGGCTTGGGGCTTGAACTCTGGGCCTGGTCACTGGCCCTGAGCTCTTTAGCTCAAGGCAAACACTCTACCACTTAAGCTATACCACCACTTCTGGTTTTTTGGTAGTTAATTGGATATAAGAGTCTCACATACTTTCCTGCCCAGGCTGGCTTTGACCGGCGATCCTTAGATCTCAGCCTCCTGAGTAGCTAGGATTACAGGCATGAGCCACTGGTGTCTGGCTATCTGTGACATTTCTTTGACCTAAATATGACAGAAACTATGATAGGCTCATTGTGTGTGTGTGTGTGTGTGTGTGCGCGCGCGCACGCTTGTGATTACCTTACTGATAAATACCATCATCCTTGGGTTATGATGAACAAAATGTGTTTTAGAGTTTAGTAACTTGTCTAAATTCAGCCACAGCAATAATAAAGCTTCAGTTAGACTTCTGAGTGGTTACTCTTCTAGATTATACTGTGGCCCTTCTGAGAGGGCTGTGTGTCAGGGCCTTAGTCTTCTGCTTTGCTGGTTTGAATAGAAGGGATCACTTACATGTGATTAGACTCATAGTTTAAGGATATTAAGTGTGAAGCGTTAGGGGACATCCTGCAACAATGTACAATTGTGTATATTAATATTTAGGAAATAGGAAGGCAGCTCTTTCTCTGGAATTTCCTTACTGCTACCCCACTGAATCTTCTGGCACCATGTGTTCCTGCTTAGAACT